TTATATATATATATATATACACATATATATATTTGTCTTCAAGAATAAATCAACCAGTCACTGAAATTTATGAGAGCCACTACAGTTGTTGATGCCAATTAATTATTACATACAAAATTCACATAAAATTACGAATGTTTCTACTCCAGTTTGAGTCCTTTCCAATCTACAAATTAGTGACAGCAAACGCAGTTCTAATCTCTCTTCCAACTCAGTTCCAATTTAGTCAACGTAAACATTGCACAGTGTAATGCCTAGAATGTCCAAAAAAGATTCAAATTTAAAAAGAAGCTTAGTTTGCGAAATATTAAGGCACTTTCGCATACTCTGTATTTATAAAAGATATATGTACAGGGTGTTACAGATACATACTAGGCCAGTACGACGGATTGCGCGGCAAACTTTGCATGGCCAAGCGTGGTTTAATAGACAATGACAGTGACTTTATAACATAAACTTTATAATATAAATAATAAAACTTTGTAGTATATAAACTTTATAACGTATAAAGTCACTGTCATTGTCTATTAAACCACGCTTGGCCATGCAAAGTTTGTCGCGCAACCCGTCGTACTGCTTAGTATGTATCTGTAACACTCTGTACGTGTGTATAAAGCTCAAAGAAAATTATAAATTTTACAGATAATACCAAAAGATTCACCATGTTGGTTATATCTGGACTTGGAATATCCAGTCGAACTAAATCCACTTTGCAATGGACCACGCATGACCAAAACGCTGATAGATATCATACGAGCGTATTTGCTCAATCACTATCACCTGTTATGCGATAGAAGTAACTTTTTAATACTAGATTCTACAACTAGTAAGAAATTTAGCAGACACGTGATTTTTACTATGAAGGATATGGCTTTTAAAGACAACTCGCATATTGGAAAGTTCATCAAAACTATATACAATGATATTTTACTTTATTTGAAATCAGATACGCTATCGCATGGAATTTTAAATCACTTTAACAAAGCCGATATTGAGGAAATGCTTGTGAAAACACAACACGGTGAAAAATTGTTTATTGATAATGGTGTCTATACGAAGAATAGACATTTTCGAATATACCTGTCCACTAAATGGGGAAAACAATCGTATCTAACAGTTTCTACAGATTGCATGCATAATGCAGTGAATAAGCGCAGAGAGAAGGAGTTGGGGATCTTTTTGGATTCCTTGATATCGTACTTTCCAAACAAGCAGAATTTAATTTTGCTCGAGTTTTTTAATCGAAGCGACGTAAAAGCTAAACTTTATTCAAATGTACCAATACGATCCATTCGTGAAAATGACGACCAGAGCTCACCATATCCTGAAATAGATAGGTACATTCGTAGTCTCATCAATCCTGGCAAGATACGTATTGTTAAATATTTTGATAAAACTAAAACGCTGAGATATGAAATTTATGGCAACAGGTAATATAACTATAATCGATAATAAAATAGTGATCACTTATTAGTTCTTATTTTACTATATACATCCGTCTTGCTATTGTAAATGATAGTACATAATGTTTTTACATTATTTTGCAGATACTGTGAAAACATTGGTAGATATCATAAGAGCAACAACGTATATTGGATTGTAGATTTAAACACGAAAAAGGTATATCAGAAATGTCACGATGAAGATTGCTCGGGGTTTTTATCTACACCAAAGAATTTACCAGAAGAAATTCTTTTTAAGTTAGACATAGAAGGTGATACTTTTATGACTGATGTAGTAATAGATGAAAATATTATAGAGAAGATATAAAAATTATTAAGTATATGCTTTTATAAACACAAATGTAGAATATGTGCAAAAATATATGGTAAATGTTAAGAAAAGGGGAGCCACCTTTGATGACCTTGACCACGACATATGTTGTCAAGGTCGTGACCCTGAGTAACCTCTACCAGGTTTTAGGTGGCGGTCGCTGTCCGTTAAAAAGTTATGAACAAAAAAAGAGTTCAACTATATAACACGAGAATTCCCTGCTTTACATGAAAGTCAGATAATTTTGGGCAGTAAGAGAGGTATGGAGTGAACTGATTAAGGGAATATGACTTTCCACTCCCCCTGCAGAGGGGCGCAGGACTCTCACCCTCCCCCCCCCCCTTACTTCAGGGGGGCAGGACTCTCACCCTCACTCCCCCTCCCCTCTGCTTCAGGGTCATGATTCGCACCTTCGACTCTCACCTTCCTCCCCCCTACTTCAGGAAATAATTAAAATTTGATTTTTAAAATGTGATAAATACTTCCCCCCCCTGCAAAGAGGCACACGATTCTTATTTTCGACTCTAACCCCCGTTTCTCATGTTTCGAATTGTGTGTTGTCAGTATTTATCACATTTTTTAAATCAAATATTAATTATTTCCTGAAGTAGGGGGGAGGAGAGGTGAAAGTCGAAGGTGAGAGTCATGAGCCCCTGAAGCAGGAGTGAGAGGGGGGGTAAGAGTCGTGTGCCCCTAAAGCAGTGGGGGGAGGGGGGTAGAAAGTCATATTCCCTTAATCAGTTCACCCCATATCTCTCTTACTGCTCAGAGTTATCTGACTTTTCATGTAAAGCAGTGAAATAATTACTAACTTTAACTGTTAATAACTTTTTAACGAACGAGCGATGGCTAAAATTTGTTGGGGTTTTTCAGGGTCATGACCTTGACAACATATGTCAAAGTCGTGGTTGTCGGCGCGGCATCCCCTACAGTGCACGACTATCAAACATATTTTAAAGCAGGGAATTTTCGTGTTATATAGTTGAACTTTTTTTGTTCACAACTTTTTAACGGACAGCGACCGCCACCTAAAACCTGTTGGAGGTCACTCAGGATCACGATCTTGACAACATACGTCAAAGTCAAGATCATCGGAGGTGGCTCTCCTTTTCTTAACATTTACCATATAAATTTACATCACTTTTACAAGTATAGCTTATATAAGTACAAACATTATTAAGAAATTTTTACATATAACTTAACATTTTTAGTAAGTGACGTATTTAAAAAATTGTATAACGAAAGAAAGTTAAAGAACGTAAAGGTTGTAATAAATTTTATACTATGTATAAATGTTAGTATAATTTGGTGCTTGTAGTATTTCAAAGAAAAAAGATATGCAGAATACGAATGATCCAATCGTGTGTACTAAGGATCAATTTATAGTTTTACGATTACTTGCGATTAATTATGAAAAATTTCTGAGTCACTATGTTCAGGAAGTTTAATTTGTACATTTCTAAAAATTTGCAGGATTTCTTATCAAATTGTTTTCATGACACAATCTGTCATTCAATTTAAAATAAATAACTTTTATCTTCTGTTCTCTGAATATATACAGAGGATAATACACTATATTTACGTATATTGTAAATATTTATTTACACACGCACGCACGCACGCACGCACGCACGCACGCACGTAAACGTCAGAAATTTTATATATAGGATGCGTTCCGTTTTATGCAAAATGCACATGATAATCATTTTTTATTCTTATCCGCAGAATGTTAAACAAACATAAAACGACACCTTACGCAACATAAGTAAAACAGAACGTACTTATATATACATACATGTCATACTGTCAATACACTCTGTCTAATCCCTCCACTTCTTTCTTCTCGTTGATGTTTCCGTTTATATTTATGGAGTTAATCCGTAGCATTGTGTATTGTATTCTGTAGACTAAAAAATAAAAGTTGAATTCATTAACATAAATAAGACATGAGAAGTGAAACGAAAATATCTCTTTAAAAGTATCTTACAGTTTATACGACGATATTGTTTCCTCGGCCGGAACCTAAAACGAGTTTTTGTATGGGATAAAGTCTTTTCTATAACCGTTGCATCAACTGAAACCAATTCTCTATTCAAAATTGGTCTGCCTATGAGAGTAAAATCTTTACTGCCAACCAGCAACACTTTTTCCAGTTTTAGTTGATCGCCTATGTTTGGCGGCCAGAATCCCTCAATAATTATAATGTCATGTTCTGTTATCTTAAATTGTTTTCCACATACTTGGACAACCGCAAACATACGGCCGATACTGTCTGTTGCGATCTGATTGTTAATTTCGTTTGTTACATCTATAAATAAGGCAAGATGTTATTTGTGAGAATTTATTCATAAAAATTGAACGTTTATACATGCTTATAGAATAAGTTAAAAACCAGTGCATATTTTCTCTCTCTCTTCATCCCATTTCTGTACTTCCGTTTGATAATCCGGGATTGACCTCATCCATGGTGGTTTAATCGTCCGATATTCTGCTATTGGTGTTTCCCACAATCTTAATGCTGAAACAAAAGATTATTTTTCAATATCTTTCTTGTACTATGCAAAGTCTGGATGATTTTGTGTCTTTGTCTCTTTGAATTTACATATAAAATTTTAATTTAATGAAAGCTCATTATTTTGTAAAACTTTGCTAGATGATTTCAGGTACTTTATTTCAGAATTTGAATATAAAATTCTTTATATATTGCAAGTACATATATAGTATATATTAGTAATTCAAGATTGAATTATTTAAGCAACGAAGATCCAGCTTCGACCATAATAGGCATTTTTAATTTCTAGTATTGATTGTGTTTCTCACATATATACGGTCTAAAATAAAAATATTGTATACAATTCTTTATTAAGTTTTGTAAATTTTTTTATTGGGTTTTTGTAAAATTTTAATATAATAAAACGTCGATCTTATTTTATTAATTTTATCTTTAAAAATAAAATTCTTAGGCCCATATTCAGAACGCGCTTACGACGCTAACATACTATACTTTATGGGCCTTCTACAATAAGTTGCAAGTCAGAACAGCAGAAGTCTTAACTAAGTCATTCAAGTTGGCTATTGGCCAACTTCACCGATTATGACTTAAGATCGCTCAGAACTTCTGACTTGCGGCTTATTGTAGAAGGGCTATAACGGGTAAGAAGGAGGTTATGTTTACATTCGAGAGAGAGGTTATATTATTGTTGCACAGTTTCTGCACAATTATAATTTCTAATTACATACCAGGATAATATTGTTTGCAAATTACGGCCGGTGCTACTCTTCTCACATAATTACTCGCCGCGTAATTCAGAAATCTTGAGAAACTAAGCAATGTCGCCATCGCGATACGAAGCAAACGACGATGGAAAACTGTAGGTAGACCGGTAATTGGGAAATGCGAATAAAACTGAATAAAACCAATGTTGACAATCAACTTTTTGCAGAACAACTTGTTTCCGACAAAAGGTTGTCTAATATATGAAAATCACGAGAATCGTAATTAATCGAAAAAAGTTTTTTTGATCTTCTTGATATCTTTTATTTTCGGGTCACATGTTTTTGGAATTTTGGACGATAATTGCCTGGCGGGAATTTTCAAAGGCTGATTATTGTTTATTTTACGTCGTACGATGTGTATTTTATTTTAAAATTATTACGTTCAAACACATGAAATTTTTACATATTATTTACGTTAAGTTTATACGAATTTTTTTTTATATAAATATTACTCATGCTATGTAAAATATGCAAATTGGAATAAAGCAACACAGAAAAAAAAATTAGTTTTATGATTGTTAAACAATTAATACGTCTAATAAAGCAACACAGAAAAAAAGATTAGTTTTATGATTATTATAATTAATATGTCTCTCTCTAACTTAAAATGCATAGTATATGTAACGTAAACTGTAGATTTTCAGCGCTGGCAGCTGGCAGTGAATTTTGGAAAACAGCCTTGAAGGCGCAGCTTGAGGAAACCGTTCGAAGTTCGAACGTTCGCGCGTGCGCGTCTGCTCGCGCGCATATCAGTTCCGATTGCGCGCACGCGTCACGTCACTGGCGGTCGGTCAATCAGTTTCCGGTCGTCTCAATATCGTGGGACTTTCGTGGACTTGCGGAGCGCGCAGAAATGTCGTACGCGTAACGCGACGGTCGCTTGTTATGTTTGACCGTTCCGTCGCGGGTGATCTCGGTAGTATACCGCGTCGACGTCGCGTCTCCGTCGCAGGAACGACTGTAATCCGATCCCACCGAGCTCACAGTTTCCCCATCTTCTTTCTCGCCTCCCTGCTGTTACCCTTACCCTTGGCGCCCACGGTTCGGTGACACGGCGTCGGAGTGACGTGTGCGGCCCAAAGAAGCATGCAGTTTTACAAAGACAGGCTGTTGTCGTCCGGCCAGCTGAAACGGCTCAGTGAGCACAAGTACAGCTGCACGAGCAACAGCATCCTCGACGGCCTCCTGCAGCCATGGTGGGACTGGCTGGTCAGCAAGGTGCCGCTTTGGCTCGCACCCAATCTCATCACCGTGCTCGGCCTGATTGTCAACATCGTCACCACCCTGATCCTTGTCTATTATAGCCCGGACGCGAGGACCGAAGTAAGCCTGACGTTAGAAGCTTCCAACTTGTCTAACCTATCTCTTCATGAGACACGTCCTTCCTCATTCTTCTTGAACACTGTATCTCTGTGACGCACATTTTTCTTATCACGAAAAAAAAATAATTTTTCATATAATCTTTAAGTGAGTAGGAGTAACCACAGCACTTTGTAGATATAATTTTCCTTAAAACTTTATTCAAGAAAGGGAAAATACATTGTCCAGATACGCAGAAGTTTTGAAGCTCATTATTTTCACATTTCTCTATTTCAAGGATATAACTGATGTAAATTTATAACTGTAACATATAACTATAAAATTATAATTAGTGATATATAATTTACAAAAAATATATAACTATAAAATTAAAATTTTTTAGGATGTTCTGAACATCCTATTTATCAATTTCTATACCTTCAAACCATCTATGTACTTAAATGTTAATTAAAAAGCTGTCTGCTGTAACAGTTTTATTTATGTTTGACTTGAAATATTTCGTAGTAACTCTTTGTCAAATTTCGTGCAAGTGAAATTTTTTAATCACATGAAAGCTCTTTTATTAGACATTACAGACAAAATCTTTAAAAAAAACTTTAATTTGAGAATTTTCTAACATTTCTGATATGTTAATTATAATAAAAGATGAAGTTACAAATCAGAACACATGTGTGTCTGTTGTCTACCTTTAAACAATTTTGTTGCATTATTTTCTGTATAATTTGAATTTTTCTAACCAGGGCAGGATAATATTTTCAAAATTAATAGAGGATAATATTTTTATTCTCAAGGATATTTTCATTCAAAAATTAATACATTTGAAATTATTATTATTTTAAATTTGATTGATTTGTTGAACAAATCTTGCACAATTATAATCAAGATAAAAGACATTATTGTCTTATTATTATCTTGGTATTGAATCTCATCAAGAAATCAATTTTCTAACTGAAGAAGTATTGTTACTGGAAAATGCAATGTCATGCAAATCTATGACTCATCTATATAACTCTATTATTGATGTTATAAATCTGGATGCTATCTATGCAATTATATTCAAATATACCTTAACTTTAATGCAATTAAACAAATATATCTTTACATGAAAAGCCTTGACAATTAATATAGTAAAGTATAAATATTATAAAATAATTATAATAAAATTGGCTATTGTTTTTTTCAGGCACCTAGGTGGGCATGTTTTTTATGTGCACTTGGTCTATTTATATATCAGAGTTTAGATGCTATCGATGGTAAACAAGCTAGGAGAACTGGCACGTCTACACCATTGGGCGAATTGTTTGATCATGGATGCGATTCCATATCGACAGGTGGATAACTGCACTGTCTCTTAATAATCTTATGCATTAGAAACATTTTAATTTCTGATATTTATTTTCTTTTCAGTGTTTGTAGCTTTGTCAGCGTGTATAGCTGTACAATTAGGATACTACCCAACGTGGATGTTTTTCCAGTGTTTCTGTGCAATGACGCTTTTCTACTGCGCTCATTGGCAGACCTATGTTTCAGGTATAAAATCAAAAACAAAAAATTTGTATAAAAATGAAACAATACAGTGCATTATTTAACTTTATTTAAAATATCATTTTAATAGGTTCCTTGAGATTTGGTAAAGTGGATGTAACAGAAGCACAGTTCACTATTATAGCTATTCATCTAATTTCTGCGATCTTCGGTCCACAAATCTGGATGATAGAGGTTGTATTGTTTGTAATTACCCTGAATTATCCTTTCTGTATTTTACATAGCAAAAATATCTTGTATAGCAATTTAACACGTTTTACAATCTTTTTCTTTTAATAAATCGTTTATTTATTTAGTTTTAATTTTTTGCATGGCTGCAGTTTGATAAACATGAATACTACATTCTGCTTTGCTTGTTTTTTTTTAAAGATAATCACATTATTATTCTGAATTGTTGAAGTATTCATTTATCACACATACACATGCTTATGTAACTGCTTGCATTACAGTTTTTACACAAATGATTTATGACAATATTTGTCAATGATAAAATTAAATAGCTCGAAATTGTAATTTGTGTTTTTAAAAATGTAACTCATAGTGCAAGCAAAATGATAAAATTTTGCTTATGTTACTATGGGTTTCAGATTTTATGGTAAGTAATTTTGATAGCTTAGCACACATAAATTGATGTCATTATAAAATTTATATAAAAAGTGTAGTAAATCTACTACATTTAAAAAAATATAGATTATATTATTATTAATAACATAATCTTTTCAATGTCATTTTTATTAAATCTGCTGAGCATGTAAACTAAGTTAATTTACTAGCCTGTACCATTAATCTTCTTTACTTGGACAAAATCCTCAATAACGGAAATTGAATATAATGTTATGCTATTATACACTCTAAAATTCAATTTTTTATGTAATTTACATTTCATATATTTTTTACACATATATATACACATACACACACAAATCGAAACATATATATTACAACATTACAAAAGATTATACACGAAAAAAACTGCGCAGCGATGATCGCTTAGTCGCGCAGCGCTGATTACTGTGCCAAGAAAAATTTTCATCGCACAAGTAACAATTACTGTGAAATGATGATCGCTGTTTGGACAACGCGTGTACAGTAATTGTTACTGTGCGGTGAAAATTTTTTTTCTGCACAGTAATCATCGCTGCACAGTTTTCTCCGTGTACTTTGTGCTGTGCTTAAAAATTATCCAAATAATTTTTGCCTTGAAAGATTTTACTATGGCGTTCATGATATATATGATAAAAACTTAATGAAACAATATCATTGTACATACATACATACAATGTTATTTAATGAAGGTATTTTTTGCAGATACCATTCTTAGATGGTTTTATGTTTAAGTATTTATTAGGAGTTATGACAGTGATGTGTGCACTGGCAAATTTATATTCCATATTTTCGGTGATTTTCACCGGAGGAGTGGGCAAGAATGGTTCCACTGTGGCTGTAAGTCTGTTAACTAGAATCTTTTATTGAACATGCAGAAATGGGAGCAGCATGGCATGAGGAGCGGCGCTGAGATTACTTCTTTACTGCAAAATATTGACTGATTTTTAACACGCATTTTTACTTCTGTATTCCCTACTAAATTATGCCCCCTTATACTCTTGTTTTCAATACCTCCACATCCTACAACTCTTATAAATGAATTGTATATATATCATTATATGACTGATAATTGTACTTCTTTCATATGTAAATTCATATTTTTCAAGTTTTCAGCAAGTTATTAATGTTTTAACATATTTTAAAAATACAACTGTAAAAATTTTTTTTGGTGTTTTTCAATGTAAAATTAATCATAGCTTTTATGTTCGCCTCTTGATGTTATATTTATGATGAAAAATCTTATGATCGCCTTTTGATATTGTATTCATGATGAAAATCTTGATCTTGATCGTATTAGCTTTTTTATAAATACATAATAATACTCTCTTTTGAAACAATTTCAAATTAGGGATTTTTGTCAAATAGTTTAAGAATTTTAAGTCTATAAATTATGTATAAGGTTTTTGTATAAAGGTTTTTGTAAAAAAAATATCTAACGCAGATAAATATTAGAAAATTTTGATTTTCTTATTTGTAGCATATATACATTATATTCTTTTTCACACTACGCTTCTGAAGAAAATACAATAACCACATTTGCCTATATAGATAAAACACTGAGCCTGCGAAACTTGCACATTAGATATAACAAAGAACTGACTTTCTTTCACATTAAAAACTATAACGTTAGGGCGAGGTCTTTAATATTCAACTTATCTTACTCAAATCAGCTGCTCCCTCGTGCTTTACAATCTTGCAGTTTTATTGCAATGAGAAATAAGCATGTTCTGTTTATACATGCTTACAGCAAATACGACCACAGATAGAACTAAGCCCATCCAGAG